TATATATATATATATATATGTATATATATATATGCGTTTATGCGTGAATGTGTGCGTGCGTGCATGTGTGTGTGTTTAGAAACAATTTACGTTAAAATTGATTGGTCCTAATTTTGCTAGACGTGAGTGTTCTCCGTGAAATCGGTCAACACACCCAGTATATGAGTATACCCACAACACACCCGTGTGTGAGCAATGCCCTGAATCGCATGACTTAATGTCAGAGTTTTAAGGCTTGTCTCGCATCAATTTCACGCCTCAGACGTTGCGATAATATTGCGATATTACGACGTATCAAACTCGCTCTGTTTTCTCACTGGGGAAATTTAACAACTGGCAGTGTGTGCGTGAGAGCAAGCAACGAGGCTCCGTGAGAGATGTGCGCAACCAATCCCTCACACTCCTCCACAAAGAACCTTGTCTCGAGAGTGGTGCCATAATCCCAATGAATTATTAATGACGTTGAATGAGTTTCACGAAATATTTGCGATAAAATTATTGATACCTTGTAAACTCGTAAGCAGCTTATGTTCCTCGAAGTGTTTGTCTCGTCCTGCTAACATTAGAAGTTATGAAATGTGTAACACTTGCTACTTAGCTGTGTGAGTGTAAGGACATTCTTACTCTTGTTGTGTGTAATATTTCACATGATTTTTACTAGAGCCCCCCCCCTCCCCGTGTGCAGTCATTTGTGAGTAGATCTTAAATTTTAACATTTAAGGCATTAAACATTTAAAATGGAAATGTTTTTAATTGGTAAAAGTTTTGTTTGTTTGTATTCGTTGCGGCAGTATTGTTTGTAGTCGCCTAAATAGGTTGCCTTGTTGTGCTGTAGCAAATCCACACCCTCAGTCGATGTTGATAGTTTGCAAAGAATTCGAAGTGGAACTTCGAGAATTTGTAGTACGTAATTTTGATGACAGCTCTATAGGAAATCCATGAACATGTTCAGAATGCAATTTCCTTTATTGCTGCATTGATGAAGTAATGGGAAACGCCTCGTAATGCGGTTATTTCACTGGAGACTCCAGTTTAACATGCTGTCGTAATGCGGTGAGGGAGGTTGGTAGCGATATTACTGTGTAAGCGGCAAGCCCATGAGGGATGCAAGTGCAAATGAATTTAGCTAATGTCGTATGGCAGGTTTCACTCGTTGAGTTCGATGCGCAAAAGCAGAAATTCTAGAAACGTAAAAGTTGACGTCAATGGCGTATAGAATCCCGGTTTTCTAAAGTTGGCGATTTTATTACCGAGTAGGCTATGAGTTAATGCATGCTTCAAGTGAGCTTGCGCATCCCACACAATGATGCCAGCGCTTCGTACACAGCTAATGAATCCTAGTCCCCCGATTACATGCCCTTTGTGCTGTGTATCTTGGCACGCACGGAAATCTGCATGAGTCGATGATATAGCAGAGCTGTGTGCGGTGGGGATTTGTGAGCTATACATAATACACCCAGCATCAGCAAGTCCAACGTACGTGCGTACCAGGCACGTTATCACACAGTACTCTTAATCAAGGCTTACGACTCGTGTAGCAGCAGGGAGTGAGTGTGCAGCTGCTCCTATATCTGCTGGCAGGAACTCGCACACTTCCTTCCGCACCTGAAGAAAATGAGGCAGGCTTGCCATGCGAGATTGACTACAGTAAAAACCCGCATAAAAGAACACGTGTTTTGGGGGTTCAGGCTGACTTTGTTCTTATATATCAGGTGTTTTCTGCAAAATCAGCCTGAAAATGTTCTTAAGGTGTTCTTAAAATTGTTTCTAAAAATTAATACTGTACTGTACTGCATAGACTACCAACAGATGAAATCAATGTGCAACCACAACATTTTTTAATTATTAATTAATGAATGGAACTAATTAATTAAAGACCGCCTGTTGACCGACATGCTTTGCGGCCGTGATGGTAAACAAACAACTCTCTAGCCTTATCGAAATTTGAAAACGGCACTAGAATAAACTTTGAACGACCCGTACTATAAATAATTCTTAATGACTATACGTAGCAAATTTCGCGCGATACGCTCAAAATGGAGATCGGTAGTCAAAGGCGAGCAACCTAAGCATTTTCATATGATACAAAAATCGAAACCACGGCTGCAAAGCATGTCGGTCGACAGGCGTTCTTTAATAATTAATTAATCAAGGCAATAATATTACATTGGGGAGGGGTAGCAATCCTGGATTCTGATTATAAACAACTTGGAACTCAGCAAAAGCCAAGTAAAGTCAAAATGCACCAGCTCCAGAACCCCCCCCCCCTACAACACAATCCTACAGGCAAACTGAGTCGAGGAAAATGTCAGCATCCAGTTTCTTAAAATTCCAGTCTAATTATCAGATCCATTTAAATCTGATAATTTTCCAAACCTTGGGGTGAGATCTTTACATCATCAGAGCCATCTGCTGTTAGCAAACAGCCAGTTTTCTCAAACAATCTCTTCAAAAAATTCTGATCATTACTTAACTCACTCCACGACTCCCCAGTCCATTGGGTCATCAAGATCGTTCTTTCCTTCGCTGAAAGCTTATCCTGCCATTTATCGAGATTGTTCTCCTCTTCGAGCCATGTTTCCATTGCTGCACCAATTTTAACTTTCATCATCCAACCACATCCTGCATCAATGGGCTGGATTTTGTCAGTGTGATTTTCAGGCTGCATATAAACTAGTATTGATCTGATTTCTGCATGTTTCGTGGAATTATTGACTTTGTTGGAAGCTGACATTGTCTGCAAACAGAACTTTTTCTTCTTTGTCATTCCCAATTCCTGGAATAAGTGTGCCCTGGACCCACAGCATGTTGATTTCTTCATCCATCCAGGCATTTCGCTGGAAATACACATCAACCCTTTTGTCATACTTTTCTTTCTCTCCAGTGGCCACACGCCCTTTTCCTCTGAAGATAAGGGCTGGCTTCACATGTTGTTCCCCAGCAGCCCTAATACAAAGTTGTAGGGTTGCCTGTCGCTTATCTAAACCAGATGATGGTTGTGACACCCACACTTGCTTAGCACCCAATGTGTCGTAGGTTTTATCTTGCTCATTTACAAATGGGAGAGGAACCTGGTCGACATTGTATCTATTTTTAGGCATCCATCTTCCATACTTTGGGTTAACTGTAGAGGACTTGTTTCTTCTCCTT